CTTTTTGTAAAAATTCTTCTCCTTTAACCTTCTGATCATTCATGGCACTCTGAGCAGATAGAACCCCAGTCCTATGATTTCAGCACGGAGAGTGAAGCATAGATATGAAATTAAAGAAAGTCAATTGCCAAAAAAATTGCAAGAAATGACTTCAATGGCAGTTTGTGTTTGTGAAATCAAAATATTACAGTGTTACGCAACGAATTAAAATCCAGAAAACATAGCTATTTGAAGCTATAATTTTAACGATGAGACAGCTAAACAGTCAAACCCTAAAAAGCAAAATTTTAAATAATCAAAGCTTTAAGAATGCCATAGTTCGCATAAAAATGGTTTCTTCTAATAGATACATCGAATAACTTGATCATTAAGAAGGAAACGGAAAAAAAAAGATAAAGCATTCAACGCATTCAATTATTCAAAAAGAGGAAAATAAATTCAAGATATCGCACCAGGATAATCTCTGAATCGGATTGGAGAATCCGGAATATGTGTCGCCGTCGACGATTCCTAGCGGCCTCACCTCTTCCGTTAGTCTCCCTCTGAATCTCTCCACACGGCTCGATTGTCTCTTTTTGCTTCTGCGATCGCGCTTTTCAAATCGCAGGGGTCTTGCACTACTTGGGCTCTCTTCTTTTGGTTATAAAAAGTAAACTCCCAAGATGATGAATAATTATATACTCCTTAATTGTGTATTTTTTCTAAATTAGTTCCAAAATCAATTAATTTTGAGATAATCATCATCCTATTCTTAAAAGCAGGGGAATTCTACCCCAACCTTTTCCCGCCCAAAGCATTAAAATTTTGTACCGTTGATTTCAATCGATCTACGGTTATTCTTCATTTTAATATAGTACTAATTTAATATATTGTATTTAAAGTAATCGCAATTAACACACACGTATTGAAATTAATGTGGTGTACAATTTCATCCTGAATTATTATATTGTATTTAAGGTAATTGGGAATAAAATACGATGTAATTCAGGCAATTATTACCTTAATTAGGGAAATATATTAATGCATGCTTTTAAACGAGACATCATTAATTCAAAAAAAAATAAAATTAACAAGCTAAAAAATAATGGTTTAATAACTTGGGTAATTTTTAAACATTATAAAAAATGAAATATATTAGTGCATGCTTTTAAAACGAGACATTATTACTTTTAAAAAAATTAACTAACTAAAAAATAATGGTTTTAGAAATCATCCTATTCTTAAAAGCAGGGGAATTCTGCCCCAACCTTTTCCCGCCCAAAGCATTAAAATTTTGCACCGTTGGTTTCAATCGATCTACGGTTATTCTTCATTTTAATATAGTACTGATTTAATATATTGTATTTAAGGTAATCGCAATTAACACACACGTATTGAAATTAATGTGGTGTACAATTTCATCTCTAATTATTATATTGTATTTAAGGTAATTGAGAATAAAATACGATGTAATTCAGGCAATTATTACCTTAAGTAGGGAAATATATTAATGCATGCTTTTAAACGAGACATCATTAATTCAAAAAAAAATAAAATTAACAAGCTAAAAAATAATGGTTTAATAACTAGGGTAATTTTTAAACATTATAAAAAAAGGAAATATATTAGTGCATGCTTTTAAAATGAGACATTATTAATTTTAAAAAAATTAACTAACTAAAAAATAATGGTTTTAGAAACATGCGTAATTTTTAGCCCCGTTTGAAAAAATAAACTGACTTTTTATAAAACTAACAAAAATTATGAATCTAAAAAACTAGAAGAATAATGGTTTAAAAATTTTCCTAATATAAAGAGCTTATTATATATTGAGATTAACACCATCATTATTTAATTGCAGCGGGTGGTCTAAATTTATTTTAGGAAAAATTTGTTACATGTGGACTTTAATAAATAAATAAATATAAATATTTTTATTTATAATGATCAAAGGTTTGAGTTGTTGTCTAGATTTATTTTAAGAAAATTTGTTGTGTATAGACTTTTATAATTAAATAAATATAAATACTTTCATTAATCCCAGTCAAAGTTTCTAGGGATTGTCTAGATTTATTATAGGAAAATTTGTTATATGTGAATTTTATTTAATAAATAAATATAAATATTTTATTAGTCACGGTCAAAGATTCTAGAAGGGAAAAGAATAATATTATTTGTATTTTTATTTTTCATTATATATATGCTTTTTATTATATATTGAGAGGTCAAGATTTATCTTAGAAAAATTTGTTATATATGAACTTTTTATTATATAATGAGCTTATTATGGGGGTGTTTCGTTGTACAGGTACTAATTGGCTTTTTTCTCAAACTTTTACCTCCACTGTCTTTTTTTTCAAAAATGACATCCTTATCTCACTTTGAGGCGTCTTTTCTTTAATATATATTTTTATAAATAGTTTAGTAAATAGCCTTGCAATAGGGTTTATTTTTGGAAAATATTCAGAAATAAATATTCAACATAGTTAATTTTAATATATGTAAATAAATCAACGAGTAAAAATTAATTATTAGTATAAAAATATCCCAAACGAACTAGTGTAAGCAAATGACACCAGTAGCACTAGTGTCATTTTAGACTTACCGTGTATGTGTATATGTATGTATATATATATATATATATATATATATATATATATATATATATATATATATATATATATATATATATATATATGTTGGGTTATGGAACCCGGGGCCTAGGCAACTAGGCGGAAGGGTGTCGAACCAAGTCGAGAGTGCACAAAATCTGGGGTCAAGTAGACTGAAAGTGATATTGTGATAGTTAGAATGCAACTCAGAACGTAAGTCCCCTCTCCTCTAGAAGGGAAGGGGTTTATATGCAGATTACAACTAGGGTTCCGACCGTTGGTCCATAGTCCAACGGTCTGGGCCCACTAAGATTGGGTTGTTCACTGGCGGCGTCCAACCACATTATTAACCCTAGGACTGCTATACAAATGTAGGTTATAAGTAGGGTGGCTATAGCAACTCTGCCAGAGGCATGGCAGGAGTCTAATCGTGGGCCCCTTGATCTTGACTCCCGTCAGCTCCCTTGTCCAGGTCTGGTCTGCCGCGCCCAGGGCTGAGGCCGAGTGCATGACCTGTCTTCGGAAGCCTCTAGGCGGAAGGCCGGCCGGGGGTGGTCCGAGGATGACCGACCCTGCCGTGGCCGAGTGCGTACAGCTGCCAAGGTGGTCTTTCCTGGTCCTTTGCCTTGGTCCCGCCAAGTGGGCCTTAGCGAAGTTGGGCTGGGCCGTCTTCCTGTTGGGCTGGATACTCCCATTCCCGGGTATCCATCATGAGTCCCCTACTTCCTCGGCCGAGCGTGGCGAAGCCGAGGGAAGTAATCCAAAAAGTTGGGATTTTGAATTTTGAAATTTTGAAAATCTTGGCCGTGTGTAGAAGTCCCCCACTGCCCAACTTGAGTGCTGATGAGGGTTGGGGAGTGTTCCAACTGGCAAGATTTACACGTGTCAACCTCGATTTCGGAGAAGCATGATTGCGCTGCTTGGGAGACGCAACGTCTCTGTACTGTTCCTTTGTCAGCCGTTCATGATGATTTGTGATCGTACGCGTGAGGAAACGCCACGTCCCTTCGAAATTGTGACTTTTCATTGAGTCTGGTCGGATCCCTTTAACGTATAAAAGCGAGGATTTTCCCCATCCTCTCCATATTTGTCATTTTTGCGCCTCACCTTCGCCGTCGAATTCGCTCATCGTCTCTGCTCACTCGACGTCGCCGCCGTATTCTACCTTGAAGGTTAGTCCATCCTTCCCTGTTCTCATGGCGTCTTCCGATTCTACTCCTTCCATCCCCGCTGTTGATCCAGCGGCGGCTTGTTTTGAGGAGATGTACCGACAAGATCCCTCCCTCCGCTCTGACGGTCTGATGGGAGGAATCGATCATTCTAGGGTTCTGAGCGCGGTGCCTCTCCGTACATTGGTTACCGTGGTGTCGTCGTCCCAGGCACCGCCCCTGAAGGGGAAAAAATCGAAGACCGCCAAGAGTTAGAGAACCGTCAAAGGTCAGACCAAAAAATCCTCACCCGTCACCGTGTTGGAAACGGGTGCAATTACGAGTACGGGTTATTTATTGTTAGATGTTGATTTTGATGAGGCTCTTCGCTTCGTGGGGGAGGGTTATTCCGTGCGCCGACCACGCACAACCAATCATGTCTTCTTCGTGACCAGTCCCGACGCTGAGGTCGGGGTACATGTGGCGTCCATGCGTTACGGTCTTCGCTTCCCTCCTCATGATCTGATAGTCCAATTTCTGAATTTCTACAGTCTTCTGCCGGATCAACTCAGTCCCCACTCATATTATTGTTTCTCGATCTTCTTGATTAAGTGTCACCTGAGGAGAGTCCCCTAGTTCTTGGATCTGTTCCGCTATATGTTCAAGGTTTCTAAAGTCGGGGCGCGTGAGGGAAATTCGTATGTTGTTGTCTCTTCTCAGGCCGAGTGTGGCATGGCTGTCATCCCTACGTCCCTGAAGCTCTGGAAGGCCAAATTCGTTTTCATCTCTAGCTTTCCTGGGGATCGGCATCCTTTCCAAGCCAGGTTTCCCGACTATCACACCTTCATTCGTCATCCTCGTCCTGAGGCCACTCCCGATCTTCTCGCACACGCGCAGAAACTCTTGGATGACTGCTGGCCTAAACCGCCCCATGTGTACACGGTGTGTACGAAGCAGAACCTAGCGGAGGTGGGGATTCTTATCTCCCTCGAACGCCAGTTCAAGTTGACCGAGGCCGTGCTGGGGAGTCGTCCTAAGCATGGACTTGAAGAGAGTACCTCGAGGCCGGGAGATCGGGTGTCGGAGGGGGAAGAAGAGGAAGAGGACGAGGAGGTCGAGACCGATGAAGAGTTAGGACAACCATCCTATTCCGAGGGCACTGCCGATGTGGAGCCTTCTGGAGGTCTGTCCTTCACTTTAGGTTTTTTCCTTTTTAATGCCAAATCTTCTAACTTTTGTTTTGTCCTGCCAGGAGACATGCATCCATTGGAGGTCATTCATAAGGCCAAGCTGTTGGCTCAAAATCGTAGCCGAGAAGAGGAGGTTCAACAAGAACCACCCTCCGGGGGTACATCTGGATCTGCTGCGGTCGTTCCGAATCGGGAGGTGATTCCGACCTGGAACCAGAGAAAGAGGAAGCTCATTCAGGTCGAGGAGGAAGAGACCGCGTCCAAGCAGGACACGGTTCCGACTCAGATTCCGTTGAGCCAACGCCCGACCGGTCCTCAGGATGGGAAGTGCCCCACTTCCCTCGATAGGACTGACGGGGATGTGCAGGCCAAGGCCGAGGTCGCATCCCTGTCCGCGACGTTGAAAGACGAGGACGAGATTCTGTCGTCCTTGCAAGGGTTGGTGGATGGTTTCTACAAAAAGGTGAGCTTCCTGGTGCCTTTATTTTCTCCATTTATATAGATAATTGACTTCGTTTTTTCTTAGGCGTCGGCGAAATTGAGCTTGATCAGCAAATGCCGAGTCGGGGCTGAATTCTCCTCAGGCGTGGACTTCCTGGCCTCGGTGGAGACGGAACTATCCCGCCTAAGGAAATTGGCGGAAGCCGAGCATGAACAGGCCACCGAGCTCAAGATGCAGGCTGTGGCAAAGTCCGAAGAAGTGGTCCGCCTACAAGGCCTTTTGAAGGAGTCGGAGGAATCGGCTTCCCAACTCACGACTTCCATGGCCGAGCTCGAGGGGCGTCTACGTCAGTCCGAGGGCCGAATATTGGAGATGGATGTTGACTTGGCCGAGGCTGTCTCCGCGCAACGGTCTCTGGAAGCTGGGCGAGATCGGGCCCTTGCTGAGAAGGAACAAGTTGCTGCCGAGAAAGAGCGCGCCGTCTCCGACTTCCTTCAGTCCCCAGCCTTCAAAGACGCATGTTTGGAAAAAATGGTTGACTACTATGAGAGCTGGCTTGGGAACGAGGCCGGCATAAAGAAGATGGGGGAGGAGGGGAAGAAGTGGTTCGGCGTCTATCATGAGATCCAGCTCGTCCTTCGCCGGACCAGAAGAGTGGACCCGTCCTTCCCTCTGCCCGGGGTCGTCATCCCAGACATGCACTGTTAGACAAAAGTGCAACTCTAGAGGGGGGGTGAATAGAGTTGTTTTCAAGAATGTACGTTTTTCGTAACAATTATCGCAGGAAAAAGTAAGGAGAGTAAGGGAAAGAAGAACACCGGGATTTATACTGGTTCACCACTTCGTGGCTAGTCCAGTCCTCCGAGAGACTCTCTCGAAAGTCCTACTAATCTTCAAGCTTCAACGGGTGCTTGAAAAACCGGTACAACTTGAGAACTTGAATCACACAAGCCTCACTTTCTTACAACAACAAGACTTGAGTCACACAAGTCTTAAGAACAACACTCAAATGAAATTGAGTTTACAACACAAGAATGAAAGCTCACACAATTGAGCAAAGTAGTGTTGAAAGATTTAAGCTCTATGGATGACAACTTCTATAGCACTCAAAGAAAAAATATTTCTAACTCTCAAAAATAATATTTTGATGAGGAAGATGAAGCAAAGTATGAATAGCTCAGGGAAATATGTTGGAGTGCAAGAGGTGTATTGAAATGAAGGAGAATGAGGGATTAAATAGGCTGAGAAAAAATAACGCCGTTGAAGAAAGCTGATGTTCTGTACCAGAGAGAATTAATCGATTAAATTAGGAATTTTAATCGATTAAAGTGTACAGAAGCAAAAAGCCTGAAAAGAAAGCTGAATAATAATCGATTAAATGAAGGCAAATAATCGATTAATAGGCTCTGTCCGAACTAATCGATTAATTGATGAGAAATAATCGATTATTGTTCAAAAATGAGCAGCCCTACGGAAATGCTTAAAAAATCGATTAAAATGAAGCAAAAAATCGATTAGGAGGCTCTGTCCAAGCTAATCGATTTTTTTAAGAGAAAAAATCGATTAAGAATTCAAACCTGAGAAAATGCGCTGGATCTAATCGATTATTTTAAAGGAAATAATCGATTAAAATGAAAATAATGCGCAAACACAAAGGGCCCAAGCCAAGTGCGATTGGAAGCACTTTGGCTTCTAACTCGTTGTTTGAGACAACGAGAATAAGAAGGCGCTCCTACGATTATATCTCCCTTATTCAATGAATTTGAGTAGGGGAGAGAAAAAGAGAGTCCAAAAATTATTTTGTGTGTCAAACAATACACAAAAAAATATTTAAAGTATATTTTTCTCACCAAAGAAAATTGTGTAACTTTAAGAAAATGTTTAAAGAAATTTTGACACACTTATTTTGAGATTGACTCACTAAAATATTTTAGACAGAGAAAAAATGATTTTTCAACTGACTCAAAAATAATTTTTATCCCTCAGAAATTAAATTGTTTTGTGCAAAAGATATTGTCATCCTTACAAGAATCCTAGACTCAATAAAAATTAAAAAGTCTTCGGAGTCTTCACATCACTTCGAAAAACTGCGTTAGGGGACCGTTGATTTTTATCCCGTAACTTTCTTGATACGCCTCTTTTCTTTTCTCGGTACGAAAAGTAAATTTTCGATCATCGTTTGAATTTCATCATCCTGTTTGTGATTTATCAAAACAAAAATATTCCAGAAAAATAATAAAGGGGTTTGAACTCATGTCCAACATGCACGACCCTAGATTAAATGCCGAGCTCGGGGAGAATCGGGATTACTTTGGGACGCCCGAGCGCAAGGACACGGGTGCCGATGCCGTCGGTGAAGAGCAACCCTCAAACTCCCTTCCTTAATGCTTTTCCTTTGTAATTTTTGAAGTTCTTGCCTTCCATTGTAATGAACAAGATTGGTTTACTATTTCGTTGCATGCATGAACAGTAAATAGATTTTCTTCTGACATTATTTATTTGAATATATTTGAATTACGCTTTTTGAGAAACTAACTCTTTGGCTTGCCCATGTAAGCAGACCTAACCACTGGACCGTCGCACTGTTTCACCCATGTGTCACTGCAAACAATTCCAACTTCAATCAATGCGACTGCTCACCTTCCTTATCTCTTCGCTTTCGGGCCTATAAATTGGCCCTCTACTTGTGTTGTGAGACCATCCCTTCCTTACGGCAATTGTGCTAACATTCCCATGGCTTCCAACAATCCAAAAGAAAATGTTCCTTCGTCCTCTCACTCCAAAGCCGGCCGTCGTCCCCCTCCTTCTCCGCCGAAAGACGCCAAATCGCGTACATGCTCCTGGTGGTACCGTGCAAAGAGGTTGGAAAGGCGCATTGAACGTCTTCAAAGACTCACGAATTACCTTCACGGGGTCCCTCAACGGCCTGCGCCTTCGGTTGAGGTTGCTCAGCCAGCTGCTGATGCCATTCCTGCGGGTGACAATCACCCGGAAGAGTCCGTCGGCTCTTCCTAGATATCCTTTCCATGCCCCTTCCCTGCATATCTGCCCATGGAGGTTTGCAGAACAAGGGGGCCATCCACGTCCTTCGGTGCCTGGGCTTTGTTAATCTTGAAGTCCATGGGGCCTTGGGATGGGGCGCGTCTACTTCCCCATTGATTTTAAGACCAGGGAAAAAAGAGGTCCATAAATTTATTGGGAGGTAGAGAACCTTAGGTCTTTTCCTTTCTCAGTTCCGCCGTGTAATAAATGTTACCGGGGCCACAATTGTAGTGTGTAGGGCTTGTAATAAATGTTGTAGCTTTTTGGGAAATACCTTTTTAATGGAGTTTGACTTTGTGTGCAATGAATGCCTTTGTAATAAATGCCTCGTTTTGATTATAAATATGATGCGTTGCTCCTTTCTCTATTTGCTCTTTTTGCAATATGGCGTTAAGCCCTGGTACTCCCTCTCTAGAAAAAAGAACATCCTTTATTCGGGCCACTCCACCATGCTCGTTTCTTATGGCAGATTCCATTCTTCCCAGCTTCGCCACCGCTCCGACCGCGGTGGGGATATGCGTCGATCCTGATCTTCCTTCCTTGAGTGAGGAGTCTGTTCAAGGCCCTCTATGTCACGAACCTGCCATGGCGGAGGTTTCAAAGAGATCTGGCCGTCTGGTGCGCAAGGTGGGCACCAACGTTCGTGCCTATCTCGAAGGCTTTCGCCGTGCTCATCGCAAGAAGACTGCCAACACAACCCTTAAGACGAAGTTTGTGACCGATCATGACACATCTTCCGTGGATTCTTCTCTTTCTAAAGAAATGGGTGTGTACTTTGACCATTCGGGAAACAGTGCTTCATGTTCTCGTACTTAAATGATATATTGTCGCCCTTGGCGTATCTTGTAATGAAACTGCTTGCATGCTCTGTCTTCTGTTTTTTTGCATCCTAAAGGGTTTCTATTGCGCTCACACCCTCAGCAGGGCGGCGAAAGGTGTGTCCTCAGCAGAACTAAGGGTCGTGGAAGACATCCTAAGCAGGATTGCAAGTTTTCCGTCCTAAGCAGGACCTTGCGCTGCTCTTTGTGCTATCAACAAGTTGTGCCCATTCGGACCTTGTTCTTCGTCTCGTTCAGAGTGCCGATTCCCCGGGTAAAACCGTGCAGATGGGCTCCCCCCTGAAGGGACACTCGGCAATAGGCATTGCCGAGTGGCGAGACGGTAAAATCTTGTTTCTCGTGATGTGTGTGGGAGCACAAAGGGACTTTGTTCGCGTAAATCGAAAGACCGCGTGAGGCCAAAATCGTGGCGTGGGAGCCCGATGTCGTTAAGCAGCATCATAAATTGCGTAAAACAAAGCAAAATTCGCGTGGAAGCGAGTATTTCATTAAGTAGAATATTTTTTTGCTACCGAGGCCGACTGGTTACGGTTCTCAGTGCATCACATGTAGAAAGAAATGAGATTGTGCGTGTTCCAGTGTCTGCCGAGTTCACGGCCTTCAAGCATGGAGAGCTTGTAGGTACCCAGACTTAGCACAAATGTGACCTTGTAAGGTTCTTCGTAGCTTTTGGCGAACTTTCCCCCTTTTGTGGGTTGACTAGCTTCCCTCTTTCTGAGCACCAAGTCTCCTACTCGGAATTCCCTTGGTCTAACCTTGCAGTCGTAATACTCTTTGACCTGCCTTCGGTAGTTTTCTGCTCTGAGGAAGGCTCGCTCCCGGCGTTCTTCAATGAAATGGAGGTCGGTCGCCATGGTTTTCTCGTTTTCTTGAGCTTTATAATTCTCTTCCCTCCATGTTGGGATGAACATCTCCGAGGGTGCCCTGGCCTCCAGGCCATAACACATGGAGAACGGCGTTTCTCCCGTCGCCCTCCTCGGAGTGGCACGGTATGCCCATAGTACGTTGGGGAGTTGGTCCACCCATGCACCTTTGTAGGACTCAAGCCTCTTCTTGATCCCATCCATGATCGTCCGATTGGCATTCTCCACTTGGTCGTTCCCCTGAGGGTAAGCCACAGAGCTGTAGGTGTGTTTTATCTTCCAATCTTGCAGAAATTCGTTGAAATGTCCAGCCTCGAACTGGGTTCCGTTATCTGTAGTGATCTGCCTTGGGACACCATATCGACAGAGTATGTTGTTGCTCACAAATTTTGAGCATTGTTCCGAGGTTCCTCCCACTAAGGGCTCGGCCTCGATCCACTTTGTGAAGTAATCGACGGCCACAATGATCCACCGGAAGTTGCCAGGTGCCCTCGACATTAAACCTATCAGGTCTATTCCCCAATGAGCGAAGGGAATTGAAGAGCTGATGGGATGGTAACTCGTTCCCGGTCTTCCAGGGATGTTCTGAAAATTTTGACACACTTTGCAACGCTTAGCACGTCTGGCACAATCCTTCACCATGGTCGGCCATAAATAGCCCTGCAGGACTATGCGTCTAGCCATGGAGAAAGGACCATGGTGTGCTGCGTATATTCCCTCGTGAACTTCTTCCATGATCTGCCCTGCACTGGCTTCGTCAACGCATCTCAACAGTGTGCCGTTATATGACCTCTTGTACAGTCGGCCGTTCTTAATGACATACGTCGACGCCCTACGTTTGACCAAACGGGCCGCTGTCTCGCCGTTGGGAAGGATCCCATCCTTCTTGTATCGGATCAACTCTGCGATCCAGCCGCTGGTTCCTTCAGTGATAACAGATATGAGCTGCACGTGGATACTCGGAGTTCCCAGGTCTTCAACATGAGCCATCTTGGAGATGTGCTCAGAACTGTCGTTGCTCAGCTTAGAGAGGACGTCAGCCTCGGTGTTCTCCACCCTAGGGATTTGCACAAGCTCGTATCCTTTGAGGGTTTTGAGCAATTCCAGGGCTGCCTCCTTGTATAGGCGCATCCGCTCCTCCTTGGTGTCAAATTCTCCTTTGATCTGACTGACGACCAGGCGCGAATCGCACCTGATCCTGACGTACTCGGCCTTCAGGCCGCTCAATAATGCTTCGTACTCTGCTTCATTGTTGGACACCTTGAATTGGAACTTTATTGCGTGATAGGAGCGGAATCCTTCAGGTGATTGGATTACTACGCCCCCACCGCAAGCTTTTTCAGCTGATGATCCATCAGTGGACAAAGTCCACCACTCGCCCTGTTCGGCCGTGGGCATGGGATTGGTGTCTCGCGCCGTGCATTCCACCATGAAATCGGCCAAGGCCTGGGCCTTGATCGCTGTCATCGGCTTCATTTCTATCTGATACTGGCTGAGATAAACAGACCACTTGATGACCCTGTTAGAGGCGGTTGGATTCCTGATGATGATGCTCAGAGGCTGATGACTCCTCACCTCCACTTCATGGGCTTGAAAATAATGGTTCAACTTCTTGACCGTGTTTACGACGGCCAGGACTGTTTTCTCTACTACCGAGTATCTGAACTCGGCATCCCTCAAGGTCCTGCTGACATAGTAAATGGGGCGTTGCGTGTCCCCTTCCTCTCGTAACAAGACAGAGCTTATAGCTCTAGGGCTGACGCCCAAATAGAGGTATAGCTTCTCGCCTTTGACTGGCTTCGCCAACACTTGCGGGGTTAGTAGATACTTCTTCAATTCTTCGAACGCCGTTTGGCATTCGGGCGTCCATTGGAACTTCGGGAACTTCTTCAGCGTGCCAAAGAAAGGAATGCTCTTCTCGGTGGAGTTTGACAAAAATCGGCCGAGTGCGGCCATCTTTCCCGTCAGTCGTTGCACTTTCTTTGTGGAGCGGGGGGCCTCCATGTCCAGGATTGCCTAGACCTTCTCCGGGTTGGGCTCGATACCTCGTCGGCTGACGAGATAGCCTAGGAATTTGCCACCTTCTACACCAAATGTACATTTTTTGGGATTAAGACGTAAATCGAACTTGCGCATAATGGAAAAAACCTAGGAGAGGTCTTCCGCATGGTCAGAAGACTGCTTGCTCTTGATGATCATGTCGTCTACGTACGCCGCCATCGTCTTCCCCAAAACTGAGTGGAACACTCGACTGACCATCCTCGTGTATGTGGCTCCACTTTTCTTCAATCCGAATGCCATCACCAAATAGCAATACACCCCCTCCGGGGTGAGGAACGCCGTCTTCTCGGCATCCTCCTTGTTGGGAAAATATTATAGATTTTGACGATGATGTATTTTAGATTGTAAAAGGAACTTTAGGCCTCCCCCAATATTCAATGTAATTTTTCTTTTTAGAAATATTGTTAAAACCGAGTTCTTGAGATTTCCAATAAAAGCTGTGATATTTCTT